GCTCAAAGAGAACGCACACAACCAGGAGGCCAAACTGCGGCGGGTGCGGGCCCTCAGGGGCCAGGTGGAGCAGAAACGCCTCAGCAACAGCAAACTAGGCGAGTGTGATGGAGGTCTGGGTGCACAGGTTTTGTGATGACATTTAGTTTCTTTGTCAAAAGTCAGTTTCACTGGTTTAAGCTGTGGCTGCAGCAGAGAGGAGCCTCCCATCGGCAGCAGGCAGTTTCACTTCAGAAGGTTTACACCAAACCACAGTCAGCTGTAATGAGATGCACACCGTGGCTGCAAAGTGGCAATATAAATGGGGCGTGCACGTTAGCTAGTAGTTTATAGCACTTTTCAACACACGCTTCTTAAATTAACAATGTGCTTTGCAGGAAGAAAAGGCAAAGACAGAGAATATGTCAAATCAGCAGAATTAAGTAAAACTGACAAAAGAAAAGCCAAAGAAAACAAATAGGTTTTACAAGCTTTTGAAAAAGACGTCCATGGTTCGACTTTGGCTGTGAGAGCTGGTTCAAGGTTAATGAGTGATGACGTTCACATTTCTTAAATGCTTCCTGCTTTTTCTTTTCTGATGAAGCTTATCGTCACAGCAAACTATAACCTATAACAGCCAGTTTACGTTATAGTTTTCCAGTTTTAGACAGAACAAACGGCTGCTTAACAAACGAGGCTTATGACATAGCACATTCATCAAAGTAAGGTTTTGGGGAAGGTGCTTTAATACTGACTCTGTTTGCCGGTGGCAGTGGAGGAGATCGAGCACATGACCGGGCTGTTTCAGCAGAAGCAGAAGGAGCTGCTGGTGGCTGTGGGAAGGGTGGAGGAGCTGAGCGACCAGCTGGAGGTGCTGAGGAGCAACAGACTGGAGCCTCCTCCTTCTCCTCCTCCTCTTCACCATCACAACTCCTCCACAGCGGAGCTGGAGCATCTTTATAAAGAGCTGCAGGTGAGAGGGCTGGTGCTAGTGCCGAGTCTCCTGCGACTCAGTGGTCTACTCACTGTTTTTCCCAGAGCTTTTAGTCTTACTCACTGTACATGTGCTGTACACGGTGTGGGCATGTTCCTGCAGTAACAGCCCTCTTCATTCCTCACACAGATTGGGTCCCAGCACTTATGAAACCTGATTGATTAAAAAAACTAAGATGAAAACTGCAGACTTGATTAAAAGGTCAAAGACACTGGACTGAGCTCAGCTTTAGCACTGAAGCTAACCTGAACATCATGTCATGTACCTGAGCTTCACCTTGCTCCTGACACATTAATCCATTGAAGGAATATTTCAAAAGAAAACAGGAAATATATTTTGGTGATAACACTTAAATATTTTACTCAACTTTTCCTTGTAGTGGAGAATGTTTACTCTGTATTATTGCTGAATATTTCTTCCATCACAGGAAAAATATGTTGACAAAACACATTTTAGTTTAGCAGAAGAACATGTATTAATATAGTCAAATGTCAGTGGCCAGTTACAGAGCCTAGCTAGCTACCTGTTAGCTAACTAGGCAGCGTGGCTAGTCTGAACGTAGCAGGTGGGCCTGGCCAACAAGCTAATGTAAGTTTTGCTGCATTTCCTGCCCTTTTTTTTTTTTTACCTGTTTCTGACCTCCATCCTCTGCGATGGATTTGATTGGCGACCTGTCCAGGGTGTACCCCGCCTTCGCCCGATTGCCGGCCGGGATTGGCTCCGGCCCCTCCCGTGACCCCGTTCGGGGATTAAGCGGTAGAATGAAAATGACCTCCATCCTCACCAACACCTTTGTCCCTCCCAGATGAGGAACAAGCTGAACCAGGACCAGAGCGCCCGGCTGCAGCAGCAGAGGGACAGCCTGAACAAGAGGAATCTGGAGGTGGCAGCAATGGACCGACGGCTGGCTGAGCTCCGGCAGCGGCTCTGGAAGAAGAAGGTCAACCTGCAGCAGAAGGAGAACCTGCCGGTGAGTGGACCTGAGCGAAAACATCAGCACAACATGCATTTCTCACATTATTTTCTCGAGGGATTTACAGTAGTTAAGTCTTTATAGTGGAGCAACTTGTAAAATCAAGACACTGAGCAGATCTGGCTCCAACGCCAGTCTTAATGTGATAACTGCTATTACTGTGAAGGGATTTGACAATAACTAGCTTCAGTCTGCAGACATTCAGCACAAAGTGAAATGGCTGCAGCAGTCACACTTCGCTGCTCCCTCCAGGTGGTCTCAGACACCGTGGCCCCTCAGCACGCATTGGGCTCCAGAGTGGCGGCAGTGGGGCCTTACATTCAGTCGTCCTCCACTACGAGCTCTCAGGGGCCCCTGGTGCCACCCCGCCAGGAGGTTCTGGTGAAGCCTGCATATCCGGACGGCACTGCCACCCTGCCCATGCCTACCTCCTTCCTGAAGCCTCCTCCCAGACCGGTCAAAGTGGCCTCAGGTACTCCACACTGAGAGGCAGAAAATGGAGCATAGTTTCCTTTATGAAATAATTTATGCAATCAGTTGACACAATCAGAATGTCTTTGTGCTCTGTCCTTTGCCCCAGCATCATTTTGGACAGGTGCCATTAACTTCTACTTCAGGGTCAGTACCAGCGTGTAGTGTATGTTTCTCTGTTCTCCACAGGATCCAGCACCTCCAAAATAACTAAACTCTCTGACTGGAGCAGCTCGTTTTCTGAATCCTCTGGAGGTCACAGCCACGCCTCCACGCTGCCTCGCATGTCCGGCCTCAGATGTCACAACTCAGGTCAGTTAGGGTGCAACTGCTACGACGTCCGACACGTGTGGCCGTGTAAGGCTTCACTGCCCATTAGCCTTTATTAACAGGGGTTCTGACATTTCTTTGCATGTGTTATGAGTTTTTGTCTCAATTAAACTCTCAGTCCTCAGCTACGCGGGTTCTGACATTTCTTTGCATGTGTTACGAGTTTTTGTCACAATTCAACTCAGTCCTCAGCTACAGAGTCGCACATAGTCACTGTCTTGAAAGGTCTCGTGAGACACGCCCCATTTCAGAACTGACTGATACACAGAAGCATTCAGGAGCAATTTTCTTTATAAAAATCAGACAAGAGAAGGAGCGAATCCAAATTTTGGCTGAATTGATGTCAAAGTCCGCTGGTTCTGTTTAAGAAACTCCCACAATGTAGAAAAAGTTCATTCTATGATAATGATGTTCCCTCTTGAAGGCGGTGAGACGCTCACAGACCAGAAGGGCCTCTCAGGGTCTGACAGCCCGCCCGCTGTCCCTTCACGGACCAGTCACAGCACCGAGGACCTGCTCAGGGACAAACAGGTACACTGCACTGAGACCACTTCTCTGATCCTACAAACGTCATGCTCATCTGTTTTTGGAGAGGTGAAATGTAAAGAAACTACTAACTTTGTGAGAGTAGAGGGATACAACAACCCTGCTGGAAACCAACTTTCAAAACTGGCTGAGACACCGCCAGAAGAAAAAACACAATAAGCACCTGGACAAGACTGATGAGCCTTGCAGAGCCATACAACTCAGATCTTTAATTAAGTTGATTACTGCGAGGAAGAACTGAAATGCTGAGTGTTTGAGATGATATGTTTATGAACAGGTGACCTGGACTTGGCCCAGAACACCTGACGTGGATATAGTCCAGAACAGGCCTAGACATGGTGCAGTTCTTCTGCACAGGTTGTGTGCAGTCATAAAACTGGGCTGCACCAAACCCTCATGGGCAGATGACAAAATGTATGTCACTCAGTCACATGGATGCAGAAAGTGTAAGTGGGCTTTAAGAGAGGATCTGGTTCAAGGAGGTGCTCAGCAGTTTCTCTAAACGTAGCTGCTAAACTCTTGTTTTTTGTTTCTATAATTCAGTTTTATTTGTATAGTGCCAAAACACAACAAAAGTCATCTCAGGACACTTTACACTTTCAGTCAGACACAATAAATCACTGTGTGAGATTTAGATGAGAGAGATCTGATATTTAATAGTCCACATTTGATTGTCCTATTACCTTCTACTATAAGAGGAGTCATCTTAATTTTAACTAGGTTCTTATGAATAACTCTTCTTGATTTATATAATTTAGGTGGGCGGGGGGGCAGACACAGTCTCTATGAGGTACTGGGAGCGTTGGGTGGGTAAGAGTGAAGATTTTTATTTGCCATTTATGCATAAACAGACAGTCTAGACATATAGGAATTCTTGTACAGTTCTCCTTTGGAGTCAGGTAAAGAGTCAAAAGCCAGAAAGAGCAGTTAGTC